AAAGCATCCTTGATTATAGCAACTCGAGGTTTGAATTTGTTCTTCAGTTTCTTGAGCTTAAGATATGCTGAGCGAGTTCAGCCCTTTTGATTTTCTGACTCCAACTCCTTGCACATATCCTTCCTTAACTCCATGCCCTGCTCTGAACTCATGGCCTGATTCAGCATCTAATTTCCTAGCTACTCTTTTTCTTTCATATCTGTCAATTACTGAGACTTCTCCAAGTCCAGCAGATCATTTCTCTTGTGGGTACTTTCAGTGGATTTATTTACTGCTTGTCCCTTTCTTTAATGAGTCTTATACATTGTTGGTAGGACTGTAAAATGGTGCAACCATACTGAAAGGTAGTTTGGCGCTTCCTCAAAAAGTTGAACAGAGAAATTCCATATGACCCAACTATTGTACTACTTGGAATATACTCTGTGAAAATGAGAGCAGAGGCACACTGAGATTTGTACACCAAAGTTCATAGCAGCATTATTCAACAGCCCAAGAAGATGGAAACAGTCTAAATATCCAACAACAAATGAAAGGATTGAGAAATTATGGTACAGTCACACAATGGAATACTATGCAGCATGCCTGTGGAATAAGTTTATAAATTATTACCTAACTTGGGAGGGACTAGAGAGCCTTATGCTGAATGAACGAACACAATCCCATAAGGATAAATAGTGTATAAAATGGTTAATGTAGAACGAGCATAAGGATCCAGGAGGGGGTAGGACAGGCTGGAAGCAGAGGGCTGTGGCTGTGCAGAGGAAGAGGGAGTGGATTAATCATTGGGTTGTTCAAGTTGATGGGTGGCAAAGTGAGGAGAAATTGAAAGAATTTGTTCAAATTTTTATTCGAGATTTGTAAATAAACGTGTGTGTGTGTGTGTGTGTGTGTGTGTGTGTGTGTGTGTGTGTGTGAGATGCTGAACATAGAAATTCCATATGAGTCAATTATTCCACTGCTTGGAATATACCCTGAGGAAATAAGAACTGAGGCACAAACAGAGACTTGAAGACCAATGTTGATAGCAGCATTAGTCACCACAGCAAGATCATGGAAACAGCCCAAATGTCCAACCACAATGGAAGGGGTTGAGAAAATATGGTAGTTTTACAGGTGAAATACTATGCAACACACAGAAGCAATGATTTTGAAAATCACATACAGTATAAGGTCATTATTGTAGAAATAGAAAGATAACTAGTAAAATGTGTATGAGGATCTAAGGCAGGGAGGGGAGTAATTATGTTGCTGTTGCTGTTGTTGTTGTGTGCCATCGAATTGCCTTCAACTTATAGCAACCTTATGTACAACATCCCAAAACCCTGACCTATCCTGTGCCAATCTTGTTGCTCCTTGCACACCCACCTCCAATACCCCAGTCACTGAATCAATCTATCTCATCCAGGGTCTTCCTCTAGTGCACTGTCCCTCCACCCTTCCAAGCGTGACAACCCTCTTCAAAAACTGTTCCCTCCTTACAAAAGTCCAAAGTATGTCAGATGAGGTTTCAGAATCCTTGCCTCCAAGGAGCAGTCTTTTCATGCCTTCTTTACGATGAACCTGTTTGTTTTCCTAGCAATCTACAGAATATTCAGTAATCTTCTCCAACACTAAACATCTCATAGGGTCACAACATTTGATGAGTAGTAGGGGGGATGTGTAAAAGAAGTGGGAAAGATCCAGTGTGAAAAACAATGTATAAAAATTTTATTATTAAAATAAAGAGCCAGAGGACGAGAACATTCTTAGTGGGATCATTAAGAGATCCAGGCTCCTATTGTCACAACTCTACTAGACGTTGGCACAGTCTCAACAACCTTCATCTTCTTGTTCTTTATTTGTGTTTTCTGCTTGGGACTCAGCAGACATGAATAAAAATGTGGTGACAGTGTTGTTCTCATCTAACTTAACCAGAAAAATTCTGTGTGTGATGACACCCAACCAAAGGATCCTATCACAGATGTATGTGTGTGATATAAAGTCACTGGGTCTGATGCTCTTCATTGCACTGTGGTTATTTTGGGTCTAGACACCACCATCAGCTTTAGCCTGGGTAGCCTTCCTCAGATGATGCATCCACTCCTGCTCCTGTTGGCCTTCCACCTGCTTCCTGAAACTATAGCAGGTAAGTGACCCTCTGCATCCTAGGAACCTGAGCCTATTTCCTTGAATCACTTGTACTCCTGGCCCTTCATCTGCCCAGTGCTAGTAAGGAATTCTTTCCAGGTAATGCAGAAAATCTATGGATACCAGCTTCCATATCAAACCCAGACTAAGCAGTCTCATATTGGATAGAAATTCTGGAAGGATGACTAGACACACTTGATACTGTAATAGGTGTTAGACTATGCTTGCTTTTTTCAAATTTCCCCAGTTTAGGTGAAATCACAAAGGACTTCTACCACTTAAAGGCTTACGAGGTGGTATCTTCCCCTAGCTTCTCCTCATTCCCTGGGAAGCAGATTATTCTTAGAAAGTCATTTGGCAGAAGATATGAAGTTAAGTAACTGAAATTCCTTTTTGCATGTCAAGAAGCTAAACAACAATTCATTACTAATAAGTCAGAACCAATTCATAGTTTACTCTCCATCAGGTTTTCTGAGGCTATAAATTGCACAGGAGGAGTTTCCCCATCTTTCTCTTTTGGAGCAGCAGATGGGTTCAAACCGAGGGTGTCCAGGTTGACAGCCCAACTTTTTACCCACTCCCATATCCCAGGACAATGAAGCTTAAACACCAAGAATTGGGGTATTGCTGTTGTTTTAGGTATAGTTGAGTTTGTTTTGCAATGCACAATAAAGTGAAACAACGCCAGGTCCTATGCTATCCTTACAAGTGCCGTCATGCTTAAGCATATTATTACAGTCAAAGTCAGTGTGTTTGCTGTGGAGTTGAAACCAACTCCTAGCTGATCCTCCAGGGAGTTTTCAATGCTGTAAATTGCATGGGAAGAGATCACTCTATATTTCTACCCAAGGAACTCGGATGGATTTGAATGGCCAGGGATTCAGGGCCTCAGGGTGAGCAGTGCAACTACTTCCACTCTGTGGATCCATAGACACGCATAGTTAGGCTGTTGAATTATTACAGTGCTGTTCTTAGGTGCCTGCAAGTTCAATGTCATTTATAGCAACCCTATGAATAATAGTTCTGAACCCTGGCCTATCCTATACCATCAACATAATCTGTGATGCACTTCAGCCCATTGCCACAGTCACACAAATCAACCTCGTTGAGAGTCCTTCTCTTCCTTGGTGATCCTCTAACTTTTTAAGTATGATGTCCCTCTACTCGAAATAGCCTTTCCTAGCAACATGCCCAAAGTACGTAAGATGAAATCTCGTTTCCTCGCTTTCAAGGATCACTATATCCACACTTTTCCCAACACATATGTGTTCCATCTTTTGGCAGTCCATACTTCCAACACTCTTCTCCAACCTCACAGCTTAAAAACATTAATTGCTCTTCTGTCATTGTAACAGATTATCCATTTTTCAGATACATAGTAAGTGATTTAAAATACCATGGCTTGAATCAGGCCCATCTTATTCTTCAAACTGACACCATTGTTCTTTAGTAATTTAAAGAGATATCTGACAGCCAGCTTGTCCAATTTAATATGTCTTCTGATGTCCTGATTGCTGGTACCAAGGGTTTTGATTGTAATACAAGTAAGAATTAAATGACAATTTTAATTTTTCTCCATTTATCAATGTTGATTATTGGTGTGGTGGTTAGGAATTTTTGACCTTCTGCACCAAGTGGTTCAAGTCCTCCTCCCTTTTAGCAAGCCCTGTTGTGTCATCTACATAACAGAGGTTGTTGATGAGTCTCCTCCAATTCTGATCCCCCATAATTCTTTGTAGAGTCCAGCTTTTTGAATTATTTCCTTAGGGTATCTATTGAATAGATATGGAGAAAGGATACAATTGTGACACACACCTTTCTTATATAAACCATTCAGTGTTTCGTTGCTCTGTCTGAACAAAAGCTTCTTCGTCTAGGTATAGGTTTCCTATAAGCAAAATTATCAGTGTTCTGGAATTCTCATTCTCCAATATTAGCCATAATTAGTCAAATCATACAGTCAAATGTTTTGTTTTTTGGGTTTTAAAAATATTTATTTTATTAATTTTCATAAACTTGTACAGAGATTTTGGATTTCCATTCATTCATTGTTGCATTTTTTTCTTCCTGCCCTCCCCTCCCCCCAGTTCGCTCTTCTCTTTGAAAAGTAAAAGAAAAATTCCTTGATTGGTATACATTACCCCACCTTAAGTACACTCCAATATGCAACCTTCATTCTGGACTCTTGTCATAACCATAATACCCAATCATATATAGTTTTTAACTGTTCTCTGCCTCTTCTGTTTCAATGCAGTATACATAATTTATCCAATTTTTCTCAGTCTTCCCCCACCCTGATGTCAGTCCTATTCTACAATATGGCACTATTCGTCTTTTTGTGACTCAGCGTAATGTCCTCCAGGGTCACCCATTTTGAATAATATTGCACGAGTTCCTTGTTTCTCAATGCAGCATAGTATTCCATTATGTGAATATACCAGAGCTTCTTTTCCATTCATTGTTGACTGGCATTTAGGTTTTTTTCCAAGTCTTTGAGATTGTGAACAAAACTGCAGTCAACAGGGGTGTGCATATACCCATCTGGGTGGCAGTTATGGTTTCTTTAGGGTATATTCCCAGGAGTGGACTTGCTGGGTCAAATGGTATTTCTAGGGGAGCTCTGGTGGCCTAGTGGCAAGGAGCTGTAACTACAATCCCAGAAGCAAACGGTTCGAATCCACCAGATACTCTGCCAGGGAAGGAGGGGCAATCTCCTCCTGTACCAGTCAGATCTGATTTGACGGTATACGCACACAAAAATAATAAAAAATTTAAAAAAAAGGTATTTCTATTTGCAACTTATTGAGAAAGTGCTATACAGCCTTCCAGGAGAGGATGAAATAGATGAATGGGACCTTCTAAGAATCAAATTTCTATGCACATCTAAAAACTTCTCCAACAGAGTAAAAAGGAAAGCCACAGAGTCAGAAAACAGTATTTGGTAATGACATGTCTGGTAAAGGACTTATGTCTAGAATTTATAAAATACTCGAGCACCACAACAAGGTAAAGAATCCAATTGAAAAATGGGCACAGGATATGAACAGATACTTCACCAAAGAAGACATTGAAATGGACATCAAATACATGAAGAAATTTTCAAAATCCCTAGCTCTAAGAGAGATGCAAATCAAAACAACTATGAGATATCATCTCAGGCCAGTAAGAATAGCAAAACTTAACAGAGCAGCAAACAACAAATGCTGGTGAGGTTGCAGAGAACACTGTTGGTGGGAGTGTAAAATGGTGCAACCACTATGGAAGTCAAATGTTTTGTATAATCACTAAAACACAAATAGACAGGATTTTCTTTATAAGGAAAGTGTGGCATCACAATTGGAGGAAGATTCATTAACAACCTAAGATATGTAGATGACACAACCTTGCTTGGGAGAAGACTTTGTCCTGACAGCAGTTCACTGCAGGGGAAGATGAGGGGCAGATGTTACCAGGACTTCTATTTCCATATTTGCTCCTCAGGGGAGATCCTGCAGCTGTCTACAACACAGGCCAAAAGGGACTCATCAAAGGAACCATTAGTGAGCAGGATGAGGTGGTGAAAAGAAGGTCAACATGTAGCTTATGAAAACAGAGGCTGAACAAGTGAGAAAGATCAGAGAGGTAACACACTGGATATTTTAGGCAGACAGTGAAGGGTGACAGAAAGTATGGATCAATTCATTTCATATGAACTGAGAGCTAAAGGGAATCTCACAACTGCTTATCTTCAATGCTCTTCTTGAGAAGCCAAAGGCTCAAGCTCAAGGGTCCCCTCCTTCCAGCATTTCCCCTCAGCACCAGCCCTACCCTGACTCAAGAATTATAACAATGCCTTTCAGTTGTGCATGGTGAACCTGAAGAAAAAGATGGCTTCCTTTAAGGTGAGATTTAACACTAGACTGGCTTGGCTCTGGGGACAAGGATGTTTCAGGAATCTCTGGGATCTGAAGACTCTTGTTAGAAATAGGGGGATGCCTTCATTTGCTTTGCTGGAATAACAGGACTGGAATAGTTAAGCTGGGGAGTGACTCAAGCCTGTAGGAGCTGACCTGGGGTGAATCAGAGAAGCAGGGATTCTTCTCCATGATTCTTTGGGGTTCTGCCAATTTGAAGAAAATCTGTGTCCCCACCATCCATGTGCCTAATATGAGATGTTGAGAACAAAAACTATCAGCTTTTAGGAGGGCCCATTGAGACTTGAAGGGAATGGCATGTTATCAAGCCTATAAGGATTGCTTTCGGGAGAGTCCAGGACAACTTGTCCCAGCAACTACAGGGCAAAGCTGATCCTGTCTTCAATCATCAGGTAGGATGCCCGCTCCTCCCATCTTCCATTTTTTTTTTCCAGAGGAGATCATTGGAGGTCATGAAGCACAGCCTCATTCACGTCCATACATGGCACTTGTAGAGTTACTTCATGATGACAAGTTGAAAAGGTGTAGTGGTTTCCTGGTGGAAGAAGATATTGTCCTGACAGCAGCTCACTGCTGGGGAAGGTGAGGGGTAGAACCTCCAAGGACTCTTCACATTCCTACCACACGGGGGCGCTACTTCATCTGGGTATAACTCAGGCCCAAGAGTTCTCAACATCAGAACCATTTGAGAGTGAAATGAGGTGGTGAAAAGTGAGTCAACATGTAACCCATGAGGTCAGAGAATGGGGCAAGTAGAAGAGGCTATTTCAGGCAGACAGTGGAGGTTGAGAGCAGGAATGGTCAAGCCACTTCATATAACCTGAGGGCAAAAGAGAATTCCACAACCACCTACAAGGCTGCTGAGAAACCAAAGGTTCAGCAAGCTCAAGATGAAGGGTCCCTCCCTCCAGCATTTCCCTCAGCAGCCGCCCTCCCCTCCCCATTGTCACCTGCTTTAGGGCTCCAGTTCTGAGAACCTCTTCTTTTCTCTCTGTACAGCCCCATGAATGTCATCTTGGGGGCCCATGATATTAAGTTACAAGAAAAGACACAGCAGGGAATTCCTGTGAAAAGAGCCATCCCCCACCCTAACTTTAACAATGGGTCTGGAAGAAATGACATCATGATGCTACAGGTGAGGCTCACTGTCTGCTGCTCCTGCTCCCTTGGGTTCAAGAAATTTCTCCTTCCACCATGACCCTTGCCTTCTCATCGTGGCTGCTTCACTAATCCCAGGCCCTGGAGGAAAAAGGGATAACGTGCAGCCCATCAGGGTCTACAGGGCAGCAGGCTGTCAATGACCAAGTCTTTGTTGTTTCCTTCATCAGCTAAACATGAAGGCCCAACTGACTACAGCTGTGGGCCTGCTCCCCCTGCCTGGAGAAAGTGACCATGTGAGGCCTGGGCAGGTGTGCAGTGTGGCTGGCTGGGGCAATATCTCTGAGAATAAACAGACAACCAAGCTGCATGAGGCGGATCTTATCATTCAGGGACACTTTCAGTGTGCATGCCGCTTCAGGTATTATTACAGGACATCTCAGTTGTGCGTGGGAGATCCACAGAAAATGATCTCTTCCCTTAAGGTGAGATTTAACATTAGGCTGGCCTTGCTCTGAAGAGCAGGATGTTTCAGAAAGACCTGGGATGTAAAGATCTTTGCTAGCAATAGGGGGAATGCCTTCACCCACTTTTCTGGGATAACAAGAGTAGCAAACTACCTAGTCACTCAGGCCTCTGTGACTTACCAGAGGTAAGTCAGAAATGTGTTCCTCCAGAAAGATGAATTTGTGATTCTTTATTCCATCCCAAAGGGTTAGTTGGCCTAGTTGTAAGAAACATCACTGTAATCCCAAAGGTGCTCCTCAGGAGAAAGATGGGCAATCTCCTCCTGAGCAATTGATCATCTCTAAGATCTCAATGGAGGATCAGTTATGGGTCAGTTCAGATTTGAGAGCAAAGCACCAACAGTAACATGCCACCTCAAACATCCCTAAGGCACAAAGAGTTTCCATTCAGCTTCTACCTTAAAGATTTGTAGTTTGAACCTTCTCAAAGGTGTTCCATAAATTTATAGGTAAGAAAACCCAATGAGCAGTTTGACTCTATAACATTTAGGATTACTAAATGTCAAGAACTGGTTTGGATTTTTTTTTTTTAAATAAATTTAATGTGGGGGAAGTAGAAAGCATTGTCCCGCCCACCTAGAGCACACATGCAAGGAAAAGCTCTCCCTCCACATTGAACAATCAAAGCCATGTAAATACTCAAGAGCTGTCATCACCCAGGTCAATGTACTGTCTTCCATTAACCTTCTGCCTTTCCTTAAACAGTAGCCTATAAGCAAAGTTCCACAGCTCCTTAGAAGGCAAGAGATCTGAAGTTAGGGAAGGAGATAGATCACAACCTAGGCATGAAACAACAATGATGTCAAGCATCACATTTTGGCACCATGGGGATCCCCAGAGAAGCCTCTAATACCCCCCTCTTTTCACCTCATTGGGGCACTTTTCTCCCAGAATGTAGAGGGAGGCAAGACCAGCAGAACAATTAACTCAGCCTTTCCTCTCTGTTCTCAGGGAGACTCTGGAGGCCCTTTGGTATGCAAAAATGTAGCCCAGGGTATTGTCTCCTCCGGAAGTGAAAAAGGAACTCCACCATGTATTTTCACCAAAATATCCAGTTTCTTACCCTGGATAAAGAAAACAATAAAACTTCTCCAATTGGAAGAATCACCCTGACCCTCTCTATGCTTGATCAGCTACTCTTAACAGCAAGAATCTTAATAAATGTGCCTTAACTGCAAGGGAATAATTGTGTCTTCATTATTCACTTACATATTAGCAGACAGCAATTCTAGATGAGGGAGCTCTGGAGACCTAGTGGGTAAGGGGTTACACTGCCAAACCAAATGTAGGCAGTTCAAATCCACCAAATGCCCCAAGAAAGAAAGAAGAAAAATCACCTATGGTGCAATTTATACCCTCTGAAAACCCAGAACAGGATCAGGTATGAGTGAGTTCTGGATTGAGGGAATGAGATTCTGTCCATTTTTCTTTTTTTGCTTTGTTTGGCTTTTAATCCTCATTAAGGCAGACCTAGAACATAATCATGTTCTGAATAGTGTTCTTTTCCCTGCTCCACATCCACAACTCATATGGAAGGAGTCAACCAGCTCTTTCTTATCTGTCATATCTCTAAGGCTTGACCTTCTGCAGGAATAATGCAGAACACCCTTAGTGGGAGACCTGAGGCTCCCAGGTTCTATGCACAGATGAACTGTTCAGCTCTGCTTCCTGTACTATGTGGCAGCGACTTGGGGTGCCCACTGGATTCAGGAAGACAAGCTCGTTGTCCTAAGGCTCTGGGAAGAAGAATTGAACATTTCTGCCTTATAATCAAGAAAACTGGCAGCTTCGAAGTGTGAGGACCTTGAGAACTCCCTCTTTCCCCTCTGTGATTCATGTCCTTCCTTAGTTCCATGCCCTGTTCTGAATTTAGGGGCTAGTTCAGCATCTAATCTCCTGGCTACCCTTTCTCTTTCATGTCTATTTATTACTGAGACTTCCCAAAGTCCAGTAGATCCTTTCTCTTGCAGACCATGCTGTTCGGAGATAGACCCCTTCCCATCTCTCCCCTACCATAGGAATTCCAGTGACCTGTGTGGTTCCAATAGGGCTTACAACAGAGCAGACAGCCTTGGTCACTCTAGCAGAAAAGGACCTTGGAGGAGTTGACACGAGGCAGAGCCCTGAAGACAGACTTGGTACAATAACGCTACAGAAAGCTTGGCTGCAATTCTTACTGGGCAGAACTAACTCAATCTCCTTCCAGTACTACATCCAGACCACTAGCAGTCATAAACCCTGAGATCATTGGCCACTTTGTGACTCATTAGGCTGAATCCCTTTGAGCTTCTCTTTCTTTGTCACTAATGGCCTACAGGCTGATTATACCGGATGATAACTCAACTCATTGAAATAGAGTCTGAACCAACACCACCTACCATGTGCTATGTCAGTCTTTTGGGCTAGAACGACTACCTTAGGACAATGAAGCACATCTTTTGCCACCAATAAACCAGCAAATACACACTGAACCTTGCTAAATGCCAGCTTAGAAATGAACATAACAGATCCATCATATGGGCTGGGTGCTTTCAGTGGACTTTTCTACTGCATGTCCCTTTCTTTAATGAGTCAATGTGGCCTACAGCTATAGAAAGAAAAGCACACTTTATTGCTGGCCACTCTTTGTATGTTGTTGTTGTTATGTGCCGACGAGTCTTCTGTGACTCAGAGCGACCCTGTGTACAACAGCCCTAAACTCTGCTCTATCCTGTGCCAATCTCACCATCTTTGACACACCTACTGGAAGAGATCTATATTTGCTCCCATTCCAAAGAAGGGTGACCCAACTGAGTGTGGAAACTACAGAACAACAGCATTGATTTCACATGCAAGCAAGATTCTACTGAAGATTATCCAAAAACGACTGGAACAG